TTTCGAACGAGGAAGGATGAGTACTCACCAGCCAATTCAAAGCGCCGTCGATGGTCCCAAAGTTCGTTCCCATCTCTGGGTGAAAGTTGGGAGCGAAGAAAATTGGAATTCCCGCTCCAGCTCGTAGTGCAGCGATATCGAGCTGATCACCAGCAAATGAGGAAGCAAACGCCTTGCCCTCAACAAAGAGTTGCGCTGGTAGAGCTGCATATTTTGCAATCATTTGTCCAATCTGTGTTGCCTGACTTGATGGATTCCACCAGTTAAAGTCAAAGGAAATAAAAACTTTCATCCCATTATTGGCGGCAGATTGATATGCAAAGGCAAGTTGAGTGTCCGTATAAGGGTCGACTCCAATATTGAGAGCAAAGGCATCGATACCGAGGGACTTGGCACGCTGCATATCCGAGTCGTAATCTTGAGGACCTACACGTTCACCTACAATACCAATCTGAATCATATGTCAGTAAACCAACGAGACAAGGGATACTGCTTTACGAAGAAGAAGCCTTGAAGAGACCTTCAGTGTCTACGTACCATGAAGTGACAGAAGACAAGTCTGCCATTAGACGGCTCCTTTTGCTCAAGAGAACATGCATGGGGGGATGTTGGAGCTGCAATAGCAAGAGTTGCAGCGAACATCAGCAGAACCGCCTTCCAGAAAGGATTGGCCGAAACCATCGTGTTTCTCAGTACCGCTAATAATATTATGAGTAAAGTTATAAAAAGTCGTGATTTGGTGATTGACTTTGCTTTTTGGGAGGGTATTTTGCGGTTGTAATGTATAATTTAATGGTGGAAAGGACAGAAGCAGCTCCTTTTGTAATCCAAATGTCTTCTCGCATAGTGACGGCAATCTACATGAACCGACATTGTAACTCCTCGGTGATTGTAGAGGTGGCCACGAGAGCAGAAAGTTATTCACCATCACATTGAATCGACACACTAAAGGTAGACACATCAGACGCTTCATCACCATTAGGTGAACTAATACAGTCATGAATTCTGTTTAGCACCGTGAATAATCTAACGAATAACCGATAGCACGCGACTTCCTTTCTTGCGCCATATAATAAGGTATCAAACAGCGAAAATGAAAGACTACATCGTAATCTTGGCATTTTAGTCGATGTTAACCTTTGATACATTCAAACGCGCGTTTCCAGCACGAAGTTCTAGAATGCCACGGACTTCCAAAAAGAGCAGATGTTCTATGAAATCATAAAAAGTGGCAAGTTATGGACTAGAAGACAGAAGACTCATCATGTGTACCAACCGCGAGCACTCAACGAGACGGCTAGAGCAGAATTTGGGGTGGCTTTAAGCTTTTTCTATTAGCCTAGCGATCGGAGAATTTTGTACATGAGGCCTCAGTCTCTCGGGAATACAACCTCCAAATAGCCACATCGTCAGCTTGTCGATATCAACATTAACTTTTGCACCTAGATGATTAAGGGTACACCTGCATAAAACATGGTACACCGAACACGTTCACTACGCATTCGGATCTCAAACAATGTGGCTTTTCTGTATGGTCATACATCACCCCTGGCGAGATTCCCGCTGGGGAACCCGCTTCCAAGATTGTGGGGTATGAAACACAGTGTTGATACGGGGAAATCATCCACAACATAATGTGATAGCTTTTCGAGTTGTATTCCTCGAGAGATATCACCAGCAAGGTCATCGGGCTCAAGCAAGTCATCGAGGTGATGTTTTGACAAGAGAATAATGTCTCGGATGATCACAAGCTCAATTTTGACGGGCCGATTTAAAGTTTGAATTAGACTTCCGCAATACTTCAAACTGAGAGTATCGGAGACGTCACAGAATCTCGGAATTGTATTTAGATCACGGTAGTTGCATCGAGTGTCCTACAGTTCGACGACAAGCACACAAAATACCGTTGTTGAAGCTTGGTTCGACGCATTTGTCGGGAGGCAGTGAAAAGCATAAGATCGGGACCGGCGAATCAGAAGTTCCGAGAAGACGCATAGACCGTCGACCATCGAGCTATTCTCGCACCTGATCACGTGCAGATACGATACCTCGTGATCGATGAGCGTTTATCTTCTCCAAGTGTGGCCTTCCTTTGCTAATAAGTATCTACATTTACACAAACTTGAATATCGGCAGCCTTGCCCATTTTTTCCCCTTCAAATACTGGAATACACACAGATACCCGAGGTACCTCAGGTTGTTGTATTTATTCTGGGTGCACCAGTTTCAGTCACGTGTAGAAGCGTGATGACCATTGTCATGAACGTGTGCGGTAAAAGGATCCTTTGTTTTTTGGTACCAGCGAGCCGAGCGAGCCACTCCGCATGATATATTTTCACGTCAAAATAAGCTCGGCGAATCCCGATGTCGTAGGATCTCGGGCTGAATCCAACAATACGAGTGCCGATCATTGTGTGAGCATGAGGATAAGCCACGTACTTCGCAGGGTTGTATATTTCAGGCATATGAGGACGTTAATCCAAGCAACCTCTACATCAAGTACTGTGGTAATTGGTTCATAGGATAATATCTTTCAGTGAAAACATCTGACTTTTATTAAAATAGAATATGTTCTTATAAACCAAATAATATCTTATATTAATTTATTTATTTAGACTTTATAACCTATTAATTAAGATTTATAATGTATCTAATTAGTCTTTATATGAGTACTAATCATCAGGATCTAGTAAATAGCTTTAATTCATTAGCTACTGTATTACAAGTCCTAAGCGAATGCGAAAGAGACTAGCTCTTTCTGTAGCGTCTGTATAAGGCCTATAACTTTCTATACTATAATAAAGACATTTAGGACCTACAAATATATAGGTGCTACGTCTTTCGTATCCTTCTCAAACTAATAGTCTTTATAGCCTGTTCTCTTGTATATGAAAAGAAAATCCTTTTATAGTTTAGAACATAATCTCATTAATAAGTATAACGTAGTTTAACACCGAATGGGCCATATTACTAAATAGGCCATTTTCACCTCAATTTACACCTTCAAATACAAATTAATCAATAATCATTGAATCAATTGATTTAAACTATTAAGAATTTAATAATTTAGGATTTATTATATTGTTTTAACAGATTTTTATATTATAATCTATTTTTTCATATTTACTACAATATCAATTAGAAAATACTTTCTTATTAGAATTTCCCCCTTTTTGATGCTTATTACATTGAATCTGAATATCAACCTTTTATTAAGATAATATATTAAGAGCCTTTTGAATTACTAAAACAGTCAACATCAAATAATTGAGTTAAATAACTTAAATGTAATAATAAATATAAATATATAATATCATTCTCTTTATAGTATATTTAAAAAGCTATTAATTTGTAACTTTCATACTTATTCAATATTAATATTCGATATTTGCTCTTTCTTCAATTCTTAATATACTTATCAAAGTGTTTCAATCATTTTAAATCTATCTTATTGTTTATCCACTTATTAAATATAGGTTTAATAGCCTAGTTCATAGAAAGATCAATTTCGATATATCAATTAAAAAGATGAACCTATTCTTGAACTATTAGAAATAGAGGAATAATTTTATTCTCTTCATTTCCATATATTATTACTATAGTCCATTCTCAATTACCTAATTGTACTACCTTACTTTTATTATTTTGTTCAATATTAATTACTATTATTGCTGCATATATAATCCCCATTATAAAGCCTATTTCATCAAAATTATAGAAATCTTCATTCAAAATATTATATTTCACTTACATATTTACAACTAATCGAAATTATTCTTCAAAAATTTTAGGATTTTTATAGAAAGCTTTTTAAAAGTTATAAATATAATTAAAACATATCTTTAATTCAATTCGATGTTTTATAAATTAATATATTTAAAGCTTCTCAATATATTTTACATTCTTCGATTTGAGAATATGATTTACTATATCTTCCACATTTTTAAGTTTAAATAAAAAACCTTTTGAATTTATATCAAGAATATATTGAATAATCACTTTTTCTTTCAATTCTATAATCTTATAATAATTCGTTTGAATCTTTATATATAAAAGTAAATCTTTCATTTTATAGCTGATTATTATACGAGATATATTATATAATTGAGTAATCTATTGAATACTTAGTTTTTTATTTTTTTGAAAAGTTTCGATAGCTAAAAGTAAATGTACTTTTTTATTTATAAATTCTATAATAAATGATTAATAAAATATATATTGAATATGAAGAGTGTAAATTGAAATGAAAGCGGCCCACCCAGTAATATAGCCCACTTAGTGTTAAACTACGTTATAGACTTATAGAATAATATAATATAAGAGTACAATTTCATACTCAATTTTATCAGCTTTAAAATTCAATTAAAATTCAAAATATAATTTAATATCAATCAAAATAATAGATTGTATTCTTTAAGTATTAAAGAATGATTTTATTAAGTTTCATTTTAAAAAGGAAAGATCTAAACTTAAAAAACAAATAGTATACTTTCTTATTAAATTTGTTAATAGGAAATTATATATTCTTTTATAAGAATATTATTATCGATTTTTTTTACTTTAATTCTAATACAATATAAATTCTTTATATTTGAAATTCATATATTCAATTTTCAAAGAGATTAATCGAATTTTCAAAATAGTTCTTTTTGATGTAAAATTGTACTTTTTCTCTTGAGTATCCCGTGAGTCTGTACACCCACCGGTGGCTTTATAAATGAGTATGACTAATAATCAAATATTCTTCTATGAACCAATTGATACGGTAATCGAAGCTTGCTCTGACTTGATTGTCATTCAGGCAGCAAATGCTACGGGTTAGTTATCCGTCTTGGCTGTACTGAGCCTCGTTTGACTTGTTGTCGGTCAAGGATTGAATAACGTCATTTCTAGGCCATGGTTCAAGCTTGGTATAACATGAAGATAGAGATCACTGTTAATATATAACAAATATAAATTTGTCTGAAAATGTTTATGTCTCACTGGCAATATCATTCACAATGTATTTATATCTACCAATCCTAACCGCACTCGTGTCTTTTACCTCTGCTCAATCCGATGTTACAGCTAGCAGCGGAACTGGATCGAGCCCCTCACAAAATGGCTCGTACTTCGAACAATACAACCAACGGCCCAACGCTACTGGCAGTGGTCATTTAGTTGGCGCCAATACATCGGAAATTCCCTTATTCCTATCATTTGTTAACTGGGATACACAAATTAACGTAACCGAAGTCCCGTGGACTGGTAATCAAACTGTGACAAACACAGTGATATCACTCAGTGCCTCAGAAAACGATTTCGCGGCCAATTCTTCATGGGAAACATGCGTGGTTCTCTTCACAAATGTACCCAGGAATGTGACGGTGAAAGGTCAAGATGATACCGGAGACTGCACCGCCTTATATTCCAACGATTGTATAAGCAATTTTACTGTTGCAATTCAAGACGCCAGAGCAAAAGCTACCTCACGAGATTCTACTGGTACTTGTGGGAGTATGTCGTTCGATGATATACCAAGTCAATGTGCAGGATCAATACTTCTTGGATCTATTGCCCAAAGTACGTCTCACTCCCATCCTCCAATTAATAAAGAAAGCTACTAATTGTGTACAGATGTCACATCAAACCAAACCGACGGGTCAGCATGGATGTATGAATCTAGTGATCCACACGATTCGACCAACTTGACATTCTACGATGAAGCAGTTACGAGAATATGGCCCATAATGCTGATTCAAAATCCGAGCGCTGATGTCTCTGGAGGGGCGGGGTTCACACATGCCGAATTGAGTTGTCTGAGGGCGGAGAATGTTACTAGCGGGAGCAAGGAGGTGATGATGTTCCGGGAGCCGGAAATAGATTGGTTCTTGGTGGATGGGCATTATTGCTCGTGACGGGTGCTATGGGATATTTCATGTAAGCAACAGCGGATCATAAAGTAAATTATGATAATTTTCAAACTTTATAAATCACTTTAGCCACAAGCAGGTCGATTAGGGAAATAGTGGGTCTCCTGATTTGATTCCCGCCACAAACACTGTTTCAGGCGAATAAAATCGTCTACACACAACATGCAATCAAGAGAGTCTTTGCAATATATTTTACAAACCTACCACGTCACCAAAAATAAAACGAAGGCAAATTATAGATGGAGAAATGGTGTTGTTTATCTTGAAGATGAATTCTGTCTTTGTACCAAGGATGTTTATTTCGCAGACTCAAATTAGAGCAATTCCTGACTCCTAGTTTTCTCCTAGGTTTGGAGGTAGCGAACTTGCCAGAGGGTTGATGGAGGGGTATCTGAACTCTTAAAATTTAGAGATAATAGCTGACACGGTCTCTTGATATAATATATCAAACCTAGTCCATGTAATGACTTCTTCTAGTGCCTCCGGAGATTCATCCACATGATTCACAAGAATTGTAAATCCCCCCGAAACAAAATTCGAAGCAAGCTTTCTTTTTTGTATTATCGAAAAATTGTGACATTCTGGGAAACTGCATGATATCTACTTCTCCTTTGTATGCTTAACCTTGGTGTGCAAGACTCATCACATCACACCATTGATTTTCGTAATCTCACTCATCACTTCTCGAATATACATATACAATATAACCACTACTACTCACTATAAAAGGGGTCAATTACTGATTATGAAAACTACCAAGGTCAAAATTTGTCTGCAGCTGCCAATGTAGTAGGTCCGTAATATATCTCTGCTCGTCTTACAGATATATTCAGCAGAAGGAATACATACATGCTATTGATAAGCGAGGCGTAGCTTATACCTCTGCCCCGCCATCGGGTCAGTGACGGCACATTCACAAATTTACCAGAGAGCCTGGTTGAAAATGACTTGAACACTAGACAACTACAATTTTTCTACAAAATGATCAATTTAAAAAGGGTATGAGACAATATTGTCTAGCTTAAGAATATTGAAGAAGGAAAAGAATCCCACTCTAAAAAAAGGTAATTCGACATGAGAAGTAGAGCCATATAAACTTCGTGCTAATTGTAGTTAATCGCTGGTTTAACATCTAAAAACAATATCCAACAGGCATAAATTTCAATAATGAAATGTCCCTACCGAAAAAATTCCCAAATTGAGGAAAACTAGCTTAACGTAGTTTATTAGTATGTATACTATATCAATACATACACTACTTTAAAAATACATCAAAATTAAGCTTTTCTTAATATTCATATTTCAATAATTAATCATTTATTTTTTTTAAAAAAAGAGAATATCTAATAACAATAAAGAGTTAAGTATTCAAAAATCTAATATTTTTTTTAATATTCTTATTATATTCTGAAGAAAGTCAAAATATTTATGATTTTCATTACAAAAAATTCTTTTTATAATAACTATTACAATAATTCGAATTTTCAATTTGTTATTTGAAACTTATAAGATTTATATATTTAAATGTTATATTAATTTTCAGAAAATTCTTTTCATAAATAAAGAAAGTGTATGATTATATACAAACGAATTTTGTATATAGAAAGAGTGATATACAGATTGATATGATATACATACTGATAAACCACGTTAAACTTAAACTATATAAAGAGAATGAAGAAATCTAAGGAAAAAATAGAGTCTGAGAAGAACTGAAAACCGACAGAATAACTAATCGCCTAAGTATCAAGATGAAAAATCAAAACTAGTTTTCTAAGTCGCAAAGAACCATCAGGTAAACACGATTGTTGGCATCACAAACGACTGGCGCTTCACCCACATTTCCCTGACAAGACACGGTCGGCTTACCTGGACAGAAGACGTCACCCACAGCCGATCGATCGCCTTTATAGTGGCAACCAGCTCCTGCGCTCTTAGGGGGAAGAGCGAAACTTCCTTAAGGATATGGAATTTGATTTCGAAGAGGATCATGACTTGTGATATCCTGGTCCTGAACAGAAACGAGTCCGCTGGTTTGACATAAGTCCACATGACTTAAATTTATATCTACCAATCGCATTATATTGAATTGCGGATTGAAAATATGTGATGGTTCCATCTCTGTTAAATCGATTTTCTTGGGAGAGTTGCTGGGCTCCAAGATCGAAGGTAGCCCATGAATCTAATATTCATTGGTCAACAAGGTAAAAACTCAAAGCTTTGGAGTGTTTCAACTACCCGCATTCTTGAATCCAAAATTGTGAGGGGGGTCCTGTTCCCCTATTCCAACGATATTTTTCCAGCCGTAAGGTCCAAATCCAATCTTTTCTCATCAAGAAACCTGGAAACGCTCGCATCAACAGGATGGATTCTTGCTGTGTTTGTGTCTGGTGTATTATTGTCTGTTACGGCATGGCCAAGCTGGTAGAGACTCATTGATTAGTAATTGTGCACATAACCGCTGGTCTGATGAGATATATATAGGTCTAAGTCATCAAAGACGATCAAAGTAGCTGTTGAAACTAACCTCGTGTAACAAAGTATGGCAGAGAAATGAGATCTTATCAACTACTGGCTCTTTTCTCCCGTACCAAGCTTTTCCCATCTTTGAACCCCAATATGTGTGCTCCAAAACCGCGGCAGATCAAAATGCGTCCTATAACGCAATGCTTTTACCTATTCGAGAAAAATCTCAGTCATGTCCTCAAACTTTCCTGTCTATCCAGAACTCTTACCACATCAATGTACGCGGGACAAATTGGATTATGCCATACCCGACGCCCTCCCCCAGATTCTGATGCGGTCTATCGATCATTGCGGCATATGAATCATCTTTTCTACTTTCCAAGATACTCCTTGAGCATTTTTCAAAGTCATCTGCCGACATCATGTCATCGTTAAATACTGAACTTACACACGAATCCACTTTATCTTCACCAGTACCTGTGCTAGCCTTTCGGTAGCGTGCCAAGTCACAGTACATTACCTGGATATTGGCTCTGTGAGCTTTCGTCCTGTTCTTATAATTCAATGAGAAGGAGTTATAGTTTTACCACGTCCACTATTTTTAAGGGGTTTAGATTAAGATTGTTGATTGCAAGGGGTTCAAAGAATGAGTTGGCAAGAGCAATTGGATCGGCTGGAAGAGCTGGCTGGTATCAATTGCCATTTGCATTGGGCACAGCAGAATTGGCCATTATGTAGTCAAATCCGTCTAGATTATCTGCATCAGTACAAGTATTCAAAAATAATCAGAAGAGATGTTAGGAATCACTTACTTTTGACATACTGATAATTGATAGAAAGTTTTTTGAGTGTTGCTACGTGCGGTCCAAAGATTTTTCCCATCAAGTCCCTGCTCTCAGTATCAGGAAAGCCCAATACATTGCCGTTAGGATCATTCTGTACAGGAGCTCCAATAGCAACTTGGGCTAGATGACCCATTTCATAATTGAGGAGTGATAGGTATTCTGCTGCTTATCAGTCTATTTAGACATGAAGGGAGGATTAAAGGAGAGCAGGTAAATTACTATTACATGATGCTGAATCGTAGTATATGCCTGCCGAAACCTTAACAATAAGACTAGAAAGCAGGAGACTTGACTACAAACTTGTGAGTTTGGTCATGTTGATATAAATCAGCAGAGAATCACAAATCAGAACGGTAAAATGGCTGGTTCGTAATTCCAGATAGCACACGATGCTTCAAGAGAGCACGAGAGCTTTAAATGTTAATCCCTTCCCTGAAGTTCTATCTTCCAAAGCCCCTGGACAAAAAGGAAGTGTAACATATTTTCCAAGATCCAACTGATGGATTCAACATATCCTAAAACATGATCGTATACCACCACCGTGTTTTGCCCCCGATGATCCATCTCTACTACTCGTAAGCTTCAGTATCTTCGATGTATACTTTCTTCGATCCATTCTGAAAATCCTTTCCCACACTCCGCCCATCTCAATGCTCCTCAATTTCAATTGAGAGTTGGGAGCTAATATGCATCAACCAGTAGATACCATGGCATGAGTTATTTTGGGGCATCCAATTCTGCTCCTTGATAAATGTGTTCGTTTTACACCTCCACAGTAAATGTAATGGTCGCAAAGGTTTCACGAAATCCTACCAACATGCAGGGTCTAGAAAGAGAGGTTATACAAACGTTTGAGACGGGCTGGGCCAAACAATTCTCTACCCGTACTCCAAAATGATCAGGTTATTGTATTTGTCTGCTACTTAGGGCCAACCTTTGTTCGACGCCGCCAACCAACAAGACAGGCAAGCATAACATTCCTTCATCGAGACATTCCTTCATTGCAGCCTTGAACTTCTTCAAGGTTCTTGAATTTGAAGTGGACACCCACAACTCTCAATTTAACCTACAACCAATCAAACATTCGACAAAGAACACTCGTTCTAATCCGCCGAATTCACATGTAAACCCCCCCCCCCCCCCAAGATTGGGGAGTTGCAAAATCCTTACCACACTGGCGGCACAGAATACGAAACAGAACGAGAAGCGAGAACAAGTCAATTCATCGTCTTCGCCGGATATAAATTTTGCAAAAAGTTACGAGGAAGTTGTATGTATGCAGGATAGTGTTCATGAATCCAAACATCGATCCTTGTAACCTATCCAACGTTGCTGTCGTAGCTGAGGCATCGAAAATCGAACATGTAGGTGTACTCCGTACATTTGTTTACATTTCGAAAAGTGAATTTGGACAGGTGGAAAGCATAATGTTATCAAAGCTGCACTCAGAGGTTTTCACCTTGAAAATGAACACGATGGGATTTTGTCAGACAACATTCGAGATTGGTTCAAAAACTACATGTAAATATACTACCGGGGCTCGGTGTTGAGATGTAACCCAGCCTCACCACGAGACAAACACAACTGTTGGAAGCTCGAGTGCTATAATGAAAAGTTAAAAATTACTTACGGGTTATTTTCCGTCTCTTCAACTCTCCTCCGTTCTCAAACCAT